CATCTAGCCAGAGAAATGAAATGACCTCTTAATGAAAATTTCAAAGCACTAAAAAAATTAAAAGAAATGCTAGAAGACAGAAAGACATCTATGGATTGGCATAAATAAAATTGTTATACTGACCAAACTACCGAAGGAGATCTTCATAATAATTGTAACCCCTATCGAAATACTAATGACTTTCTTCACAGAACTAGAAAAAAAATTATAAAATTCACATGGAAACACAAAAGACTCAAAAAATCAATCCTAAGCAAAAACTGTAAGGTTGAAGGCACCACAAGGCCAGTTTTAACTTATAGACACAGCCATAGCAACAAGAGCAGAACAGTAGTGGCACAAAAATAGAACAAGACTAATGAAACAGAAACAAGGACCGAGGAAGAAACACACAAAATGACAGCATCTGATTCTAGACAAAGAAGAAAAGAATTTTATATTTTTGACAAAATCCAACCCCTCTTACAAATTGTGATGGAAAACTGGATATTCCATTGCAGAAAACTGAAACTAGATATTTATCTGTCATCCTGTACCAAGATCAATTCAATGTGGATCAATAAGTAGGGAAAGAACTGAAATTTTGAAATCATTAAGAAAAAAATATGAGGAACACTTGAAACCATAAACATATGATAAATTTTTGGATAGGACTTGAGTAGCACATGAAATCATAGCCAAAATCCACAAATATAACTACATGAAATTTTACACAGCAAGGCAAACAATTAATAGAGGAAAAAGATAGCCTACTACAGAATTATAGAAAATCTTTGCTAACTTATTTTATTTTTTTATTTTAAAGAGAAAAGAAAAGAAAATAGCAACAACCAACACAAAAATAAAACAACCCCAAAGCAATAAAAACAGTACAGAATTTCAAAACAAGGTGATAGGAAGTTAACAATGGTTGCTATATTACATATTGCTATTTTCAATGAAGTTGACAGAGAATTAATTTTTAGATTATACAGAATTCAAAAAACACCAAAGTGACAATAGCTCAATCAAAAAATGAAAATGAATCAAATAAACCATCAGCCAAAGAAGAACTAGAACTGAATAGTATTTGAAAATTATTCAACACCACTGAGCCATTACAAGCCATTACATTACTTCATGGTTTATTTTAAAAATAAAAGGAGGAAAACATTAACAGACAACCTTTTACAAAATAGCAAAAGACCAGTACAGCCAATACAGTTACAAACAAAGTGGTAGGAAATTAACAATGCTTGTTGTATTACATATTGATATCTTCAAAGTGGTTTCTCATGAAAACAGATAGAGACATCCAATATTGATAAATCAAGGACTTATTGACAGTTTCTTTCAGCAAAGAAACAGAAGACAGTAGAACAACTATGTTAACTATCCTGTATATACATACATACAAAATTTCTCCTTCTTTCCCTTTTCTTTTCCCACATCCCAATTGCCCTTGAGTGTTTTCCCATCATTTCACAGTGTCTATCATACAGAATACTTCTATACTGCTGGTAGAAGTGTAAATTAATAGAGCCACTTGGAAATCAATACAGATTTTCCTAACAAAAAAAGAACTACCATTTGATCTTCTTATAGGACTCTTTAGAATATATCCAAATAATATCTGTATATCCATATTTATTGTGGCACAATTCACAACAGCCAAGCTAGTGATGAGTAAGTAGATGAACGGGTTGCTTGGAGTAAGGCCCCATTGAAGGAAGGAAGTCCCTGAGTAGCGTGGTTTAGAATGGTGCATCTGGTTGCTTCCATTCTGACTCTCTCAACATCCATTTCCTTGCTGCCATGAGCTAAGAATCTTTCCTCCACCTTGCCTTTCTGTAATACTCTTCTGCCGTACCTGTTCCCCATGATGTTTCTGCCTTGGAGCCAGTTGACTACAGTCTTCAACCTCTGAATGTAAAAGCAAAAATAAACCTCCCCTCTCATAGGATATGTTTCCCAAGTATCTTATCCCAAGAATGGAAACTAACATGTAAAGAGCTGACTTCTTTGTGACAGAAATGAATTTCCTTGCTCATAATAGCACGGCTGGGTTTGGATGTGGTTTTTCTCCCACAATAATTTGTATTGAAAATGGTTGTCTAATGTGCTTGGTGTTTAGAAGGAGAGGCCAAGTGGAAATTTTAGGTCATGAGGGCTTCTGACCTTAGACGTGATTAAGATAATTTTATGGAACTCTTTAGTTTTCATGGGGGGAGGTGTTATAAAAGAAGAAAAATAGCTCCTCTCCATTATCTGACTTCTTGTCTCACCTATGATCTTTTCCTCTCACACACTGCCCTGCAATGATAATACTGGCCAGCATGTGATGCAGCAGGAGCCCCATGCAGAAACTCAGCTGGTGTCGGTGCATGCTCTCAGATACCCAAAACTGTAAGATGAATAGAGCTCTTTCCCCTGTAAAGTATCCAGCATCAGAGATTTTGTCACAGAAATGAGAAACTGGCAAATATCCTAGATTTTTTTCCAAGTATGTCTGGTTCAAAAAGATCCCCCTCTAGATTAGCAGATCCAGGCACATTCTCTTAATGATGCTATCCACATAGGAGGAGCAGAGAGTCATCTCCCCTTTCAGTGTGGACTGATTAATCCATTCCCTTAGTCTGGATTTTTGAAGATATGTGGCACAGTAAAACAAATACCCTCATGTGTTCCTTCTGTCCTTTGCTGGACTCCCAGGACTTGGATTTTGTGAGGCAATGAAAAATCAAAGAGAATGCTATCTGGAGCAAGGGTGCTGTTGTGGGAAAATTTAGATGGTTTTCTCATAAAATTATGAGGAAAGTGGTTTAAAAAATGAGTTGCCCAAAACATCAGAAACGAACATTCATGGGGGGAGGAAGCATTTTATGGTTACTGCACCCTTACACGACTCATGTCATCACTTAACTTGTCAAAGTCTTCTACCTCACCCCAAGGGCTTCTAAAGTAGGGGAAGATCTGGATAATTCTCAGGTATCACTTTTTTTCATGGATGTCCAAAATTCTTGTCACATAGATTATTGTTATTATGAGATTGAGGTCTTAATAAACTATGCAGTAAGCAAGTCTTCTTTCTGCTCTAGACATTGATGCTCTCCATATAATTCAAGTCTCTTTAATAGTGTAGACAACCATTAGAAGACAGTGCATGGTAAAACAGATGCATCTCCCCTAGAGACACAGGAAATCCATAAAAAGTTCTATTTAAACTGTAGTCACCAATTTCTTCACTATATTCACTCTTAACATATGTATGTTTTCTTCAGCGAGCAATTTAATAAAATATCATGATTAGTCAACACAGGAGCTAGGACTGAATAGGACTGAATCCACTTCATTTGCCTCAAGGTACACTTGATTCACACTGATGTGAGCAGGACAGTGTGCACAAGAATAGTGTCAACCTGCTTTAGTCACATACATTATTCCCATGAAAGTCCCACATTTAACCAACTGAATATCTGTTAGTCTACCTAAGAAAGCTATGTGGTCTCTCCTTTGCATTTCTGTATTGCCTCTTACAGTGAAATGAGAAATAACAGAAAATACTGACAAAACATACCACTTATATATTTCTGAAAAGAATAGGGGGCTCTGTGTTCATTATTCAAACAAAGCAGAGCTTGGATGCAGAGGAATTTTGACTCATAACCAGAAAGTGATAGTTGGAAAGCACACAGAAATGTGTATACTCACCAACCACCAATTGAGATTATAAAAAAGGATAGAAATGTGAAAGATGAAAGAGATGATGTAAAGTGATCAGGAAAAGGATGCTTTTGGTGGTTCTTGACGCAAGGAATCTGGAGGGAAAACTAGTACTATGAATGTGCTTAACCTGCTGTTTATGTCTATACAGGATAAAAATCATAGAACCACTGACCCATATTGTGAACACAATAGAAGAAACCTCAGGCGATACTACTAATGCAATATAGACTGAGCCCATGGTTGTTCCGTACCCCACAACAGCACAGAATCTCAGACTTCTTTTTCTTGTGATGTTTCTGCTTTCTGGTTTCCCAGATACAAGCAACACATATAGGGGGAAAATGAAATTTACCCCTATGTGTAGCAACCAGCAGAAGGACATGGAGAAGATGATGTACTTTGGAGGTTTTATTTTAAGATTTTTCCAACAGGAGTTCATGGGGCTGATTGTAATAGTCTGGAAGACACTCAAGAGACACATAGTACAAATTGACATAGTCCTGCGCACTCTGAGGATGTACAAGTTAAATTGGCAACTAAATTCACTGAATAAATGTTTCAAGCCAAAGTTACCCAGAGTTGATTCACCGCTTAATAAGCTCATAACTAAATGTACAGTGAGGAGGTGCAACCTGGTTAGAAGAAATGTGTCACAAGCCTTGTGTCACTGGATGGCATATCCTCCTCCCTGGTTCTTTCTGTCTCTGCTTTCTGACTGCCGTGAGGTAAGAAGCTTTACTCTGCCATGTGGTCCCACCATGCTTTTTTGTTTTGGCCTTGGAAACAGCTGATCATGGACACTATTCCCCCAAACTAGGAGCCAAATTAAACTGCTCTTCTTCTTAAATTATTGGTGTCATGTATTGCATCCAGCAATGGGAAAGCTGATTAATATAATACATATAAGAAAGCTACAGAGAAGGGTCTTCCATCAATATCCACCATTCATTTCTTCATTGTCTTTCTGGTGAACTTGTCTTTGAGTACATCACTTGGTCACCACCAAGATTAAACTGACTTTGACTGGCTGAGGCCTAATCCATTTAATTTTGCTGAAGCAACATTTACTGGAGTTGCTATCAACGGGAGGGCATCCATGAAGCCAGAAGTAATCTGCCTTACTCAATTTTACATGCCAATGTAGATCTGACATTTAAGTAGCTAAATAACTGCAATGCCAATTATGGTCTACCTTACAAAGACAAGTTGTTCTTTCATATATTTTGGTTTTCAGATTTTGAGGATGATGCATACAAAACAATTAAATATTGTAAAAAACTATATCATTTACATGCTTATGATTGACCAATTCTTGGATTTCTTATCCAGACAAAGCAGAGCCTCAGTACAGTAGAGTGTCTCCTCATGAAAACAAAGGGGCTGACCGTGGGAAAGGACACAGAAAGGAGGGCACTGATGTTCACCAACCACACACTGGGATGATGCATGAAAGCAACATAAATATACAATATGGAGGAAACAGTGTTAAAAATCACAAATGTGCACACCAGGACAAAGATGCTGTGTGTAGCTCTGGACTCAGGGGAGGCTCTGCGGGAAGCCACAGTGCGAATATATTGAACCTGCTGCTTATGCTTATAGAGAAAGATGATCACGGAACAACTGCTGCAAATTATGAGCACAGAAAATAAAACTTCAGGGAATATAAATAATACTAAATATATTGAGGAAATAATGTTATTACCTTCAGTAGAACAGAATCCAAAATATCTGCTCTTTGTCATATTTTTGCTATTCTGTTTGACATATGCATGTATAGGAAAAATGAAACTTATCACCACATACAGGATCCAGCAGAGGGAAATGGAAGATTCAGTGTACCTTGGGGCTTTTACTTTAAGGTCCTTCCAACAGGAGTTCATGGGGCTGATCATGATAGTCTGGAAGACACTCAAGAGGCATGTCATCGCAGTGGACACACCTCTGCCCAGTCTGTGAATGTACAAAAGGATTTTGCAGCTGAAATCATTGAAGGAATGTTTCAACCCAAAAGCTGCCATTGTATGGGGAACTCCATGAGAGAGGATGATGAAAAAGTTGGCTATAAAAAGGTGCTTCAGAATCATGTCTGTGGACCTTAATGTGCAGTCTTGGTAGTAAAGGACTAAATAATAGTAAAGAACAGAGAAATTACCAAGAATTCCAACTGTAGTCTGTGATAAGAACATTATTCCTATTGCTATATCCCTGGAAAACATTCTGTTATTCATCACCTTTTTAAAAAAAATAATAGCAGCAGGATTCCTGTCAGCAAGAGGTTTCACTACTGCTATTTTGTCCAGCCAGGCTGAAATATGAGGATCGCTTGAGCCTAGGAGTTTGAGGCCAGTCAGAAAGACAGCAAGAAAAAAAAGTTTCTTTTGGCACCAAGATCAACTTTCATTGTATGCTCCTGAAGGATTTTCAAAGATATCAAAATGTACATGTTGATGAGGATAACCACTATTTTATATCGTGGAATGGTCCACACCAGGATGAAGTGATGTTAACCTGGCAGAAGCAATAAAAAGTGAGAGAAAATAAAAAGAAATCATAACTCAGAATTTCCAGAATAAATTGATAATCATATTGGGAAAAACAGACAAATCCTGTCAATATCAACACAATACAATTCATTTCCAATTGGATTTCTGATCTAAATTTTAAAGATAAGTAATGAAAATTCTGAAATAAGCGAAAAACTATTTCTGTGGTGTTATATAAGAAAATGTTTATTAGGCTGCATAAAAACATTAACCAGTTTATTTAAGTGTCAAATTTGATGATCCTAATTCTAAAGTTACTCTCAAGAAATGTCATATACACAGAGAGAAAAGCGATGAATGAAGGTAAAAGAAAAAACAAGAGAAGGACTGAAAAAGAGAGACAGCTGTCAATGTGAAGAACTCTTTTTTTTGTTTTTGTTTTTTCCAATACTGGGAATTGAACTCATGACCTCGCGCTTGCCAGGCAAGCGCTGTGCTGCTGAGCTAAATCCCCAGCTCCAATGTGAAGAACTCTCAAGAAATGCGAAAGGATAATAATAGGCAAAATACTTCAACTGAAACTTCAAAAATGATATGAACCAGTACCTGGTACCCTTACACACTAACTAGAAACCTAAAATTAAAATGGCAGGAAATACCAAGTACAGGCATAGATGTGGGTAACCTACAAGTCTCTTATACTGGTAATGAGTATTAACATTTTTAAAACATTCTGGAAAAATCTTGTTTCCTATATAAGGAGAAACGATATAAACTTTCCTGCCAGCAATGATACCCTTATGCATATGTCTTCAAACATATTTCCATTTATAATGCTGAAGAGGAATTTCAGAATTGATATATCAATAATAGTCATGATCACTTCAAACTAAAGATGTCTGTGCATCCCCTTTTAGAGTGAAAGAATTAATGGTTTGATATTAATAGAATGTAATACTATACATGAATGCTAATAAATGCCCTCAATATATCCACACAAATCATATAGATTGAAAAAGCTGAATACAAAAGAATCTTTCTGCATGGTTCCAGTTATACAAAGTGTAAAACAGGTAAATGCAACTTAATCTCTTAAATGTTAGTATAAATGTAGACATATGTCCCTACAACTCCTACAAGTAATGGATCTATACTCTTTGGGGTAATGACTTAGAAAAGGCAAAAATGTCCTTCAGCAAGCTGAGATACTATTATTATTATTATTATAACAAAAATGTACATTGTGAGTTATGAATGCATCTTAATATTCTGCAGAATCTTACGTCTTTTTTTCTTTGTGATGTTTTTGCTGCTGCATTTCACAACCACATGCGTCAGAAAAATGACACCAGAATAGATAGGTGTCCAGGACTGAACAACTGAAAACCAGTTTATTTGGAAGCTTTAAGTTATACCCACCTGGAATTCCAAGGGCTTTTTGAAAATGCCTGGACAGGATCAAGAAGAAGCCGTGACAATGAATATTCCCTGCGAACTGTGTGAAGATGTAAATTTTCACTCAAAATCTTTGGAGAAATGCTTGAGTCTAAAAGCAACCATGGGCTTGCATGCACCTTTAAAGAAAATACCGTAGACATGACTGTAGTCAGTGCTTAAAGATCTGATATATGTTCTTCAACCTGCTCTTAGCACAGGAAAGGATGAGATTGTGATAAAGGAAAAAGAATGCCCAGGATTCTCTTTGCAAGCTCAGATAAGGGTACCATTCCTATTGTGAAATTCATGGCAGTCACTCTTCTAGTCTCTGGAGCTGATATTTGTCTTCAGTGTTAGGGCATTCTGCCTAGGAACGTGCAACACTGTCACATGTCTCTTATTAACCGCAATCCAGTATTCTCACTGAGGAATATTAATTAAGCTTGTAATTTGTTAAGAGGCTTTTAGAAGTTAGATGCATAAACTGCAAGTAGTGTTAACCATATATGAATTATTCTCCTGATTCTGTGCCCAGTACCTTCTGTGATTTAATAGCTATGTAATGGGGATGATGGCATTATTTCTATTTTCAAAACAAGGAGTCCTTGTAAACAAATAGTGATGTACTGTCTAAATTCTGAAGAATCTCAAGAGACTTGAATATGGCTAAGCTATATAAGGTACAGAGATCATCATGCAAGGTCTATGCTACACTAAAGCTAGGTCAGCTATGTTTTCAAACCACCTACATCTATCTTCAGATTGTTTTAATAACGACAATTCATTTACATTGCTGGCATTTTATTGTATAATTAGATCACAAAAATTCACTATGGTATAAAGGTTTGTTCTATGGAGGCTATCATCTGTACAAATAAAGCTTTAGAGACCCTACTAAAATGTAGTGCTCTAATTATAGGTTGAAACTATAGGAAATGTCCCATATCCAAGCTAGAATGATAAATGTAATAGTAACTTAATATTTCCCTTGGCAATAGAAATACTCATTTTTATCATTCCAAGAAAAATATAGTTTTATTTACCAAAAACCCTTGGATTCTATTACTTTATCTCTAAACTACAAAACATAAAATACTAATACATGATGAAACAGTGTAGGATTGAAAATAAAGAGCAAAATAAAATATAGATCATAAGAAATAGGGAGATAGATCTTTTTTAACAGAGAAGAGAACCAATAAATGGAAGGAGGAGGGGAGTGGAAGAGGTAGAAAAATGAATTAAGATGTGTTATGCACAGGTACCAGTGTCCCACAAGGAACAAAATCATTGTGCACTGCAAACATATACAAATAACAATATAAAATGAAAAAAGAAACTAAGTCATTATTTCAGGTTAAAACCTAATATTTCCTATTTCATAGGTTAAGTAAAACTATTAGTAATGAAGGGAGATTTCTGGGAGCCATTGAGGTATAAGAAACACATGTAAACACAATGTGGAAGTGTGAACCTTGTACTTTGTATGTATTAAAACAAGGAAAATTACTCATGAATTTGGGATTAAGATTAAAATATTAAACCAGATAAAGTAATACAAAATACTTACACCTGAGAAAAACTTGTAATTTTTAACACTCCCTTTCCTTTAACTGTTGTGCTCCTAAATTTAAAAAGACAAAGCAATCTCACAATTATCAATCAGAGACGTCTCCATAGAGACATCGTTATTGTGTCTACTCATAGGGTCCTAACTATAGAATTAAATAAGAACAGCTTTTATTCTGCACACATTCACGTCTTTGTTTCTGCACATAGTTATGTGATTCTTTGGTTTTGTTTTTAGTTTTATTTTTTGGGGGGGTACTGGGAATCAAACTCAGAACCTTGCACTTACTAGGCAGGCACTTGTGCCGCTGAGCTATATCCCCAGCCCCGGTTATGTGACAGTTCCATAACAGTCTTTACAAATGATATGAAGTCATTATAAATATACCTTTAACAATAATACTCATATTTTAGTTTTGATTTGTAGAGATTGATTTTATCACTACATCTTTCAAGATCAAATTTCACTCTCACTGGAATTTTCAACATTATTTTCAGTGAAGGTTGCAGCAAATTACATTAGGAGCCATTATTGGCATGAATTCATGGACTCTTCTCCTTTTATCAATCTCAGCTAAGGAAGTTTTCTGTCCAGTATCTACCTTGGCACTGGTTCCATTTCTACCCCAGAATCTCTTTCCCAAGAACAAACAACTTACTCAGACTTCCTTTCCTTCTGCTTCTGTCTCTCAGACTAAAATTAAAAATACTCACCAAATTTCTGCCCTCTGTCAGGATGGAGGACTTGATGTGAAGGTCATGACAGCCAGCATCCTGAGAAAGGGAGGCAACTGGACCCTCAAAAAAGGTTTGTGATTCTGTGACCTCATCTTCCTCCAGGATAGCAATTATCACTTTACCTCTAGTGGCCTGACAGCACTGGCTTGGGGAATTGTTACATCTGTAAAAACTTTTTCCCAGTTACTATTTATGAAACCAATTATGAGTTTCATATGAGTACACTAAACAAAACCACCGATGTGTTTTGGAAAGACTCTTACATGATCCGTGAAGGCTAAGAGGGCCTCATGCGACAGGTAGTGCAACTGTTAAAGTTTGATATGGGAGACACTTGTACGGAGGTGTGTGTTTCTCACTGGATTTCAGCTTTCCGTGAGTTTTTCTACCCCAAATCATTTATAGTATGAATCTCTATCTGGAACCAATTTCAAGTATGACGCAGAAAAATAAAATCAGAGAAGCTAAGCAAAGTTTCTAGTGAAGTAAGAGAGAAGAAAGAACATGATGACATAATGTATATCAGAAATCACTGGACCCATCTGTATAACTGAATGAAAAATAACTTGCATATGATGGTATGAAAAATCCTCTGAGAAAGGAGCTGGCAAAAATTGACGCTAGGGGCTGGGGATTTAGCTCGGTGCAAAAGCGCCTGCCTGGCAAGCGCAAGGTCGTGAGTTCGGTTCCCGGTACCGAAGAAAAAAACCAAAACCAAAAAAAAAAAAAAAAATTGACGCTAACATTGATAGGAAATTTAAGCAGAATATTATTCAGAAGAAGCAGATATGTACATATTAGTGTCTCACAAATAAAAACAATAGTATGAAAGTATTCAGCTAGCAAATTCTGTTGTTTTTACTAACTAGCACATAAGCCAATTGTACCGGTTCCATCCAACCACAGTGAAAGGTAACTGGAATTATCTGCACCACTCTATGATGAGAAACAAAAGGTCCATGGTTCCCATAATTAATTAATAAATATAA